AGATAGATAGATAGATAGATAGATAGATAGATAGATAGATAGATAGAAGAATAGAATAGATAGAAGATAGATTTCCACTGAATGTAATCAAGATTATGAGAGAAAGATGGAAGGGAAGACATTTTTTTTTCCTCCCTGGGGAAAATCCAAATTGACTGCCATCCATTTTATTTTTCTTCCCTGCCCAGGAAAGAAGAGTTGGAAAATGTGAAGAACTGGTATGGGACCATCGCCATCGGCTGGCCTCTTCCTGGTTCTGTGCGTGGCATTCCTGGCTTGGGCCCAGAGTCCTGTGACGTCTCCTTGCCAGTTAGTCTCTAACACCGTCGCTCCTTGCCGAGGCCAAAAGCTGCTCCAAGTCCCTCAGGACCTTCCCAGCACCCTGGAGAAGCTGGACCTCTCCTACAACAAGATCGAACAGATCGGCTCGGCGGACTTCTCGTCCTTGACTCGGCTGAAAGAGTTAGATCTCGGTTACAACCACATCTTCTCGATCGCCAGCGACTCCTTCGCGTCCAACCTCCTTTTGGAGAAGTTGAGTCTCTTCAACAACTCCTTGGGAGAAATCCCGTCTGTGGCTTTGAGGCCTTTGAAGCAGCTGACTGCCTTGTCGATCTCAAACAACCTCTATCCTCGCTCGAGGCTGGACGAGGTGTTCAGCTCCCTGGAGAACCTCCAAGAGTTCTCCCTGGGCGGCCCTGTTGTTTACACGGTGGGCAGTGAAGACTTTGTTCCTCTGAAGGACATTCCGTTGAAGAAGTTTTTCCTCAAAACTGCTTCCAGTTTGACGGAGTATCAAGAAGGGGCCTTCTCTAAGCTCAACACCACCGAATTGTGGTGCGACGTGGCGCTGGACAGAAACCCGGGGGCCCTGCCTCTTATGCTCCGTGACTTGAAAGGGAAGCAGCTCCATTATCTCCGTTTCCGTAACCTCTTCGAGTTCACCTACTACACCGATTCCGTAGACCTCTTCGCTGGCTTGGCTGAGGTCCATGTGGAAGAGCTGGTCTTCTACAGGGGGAAATTCAACGAGAACCTGCTGCGTTTGGTCCTCTTAAATGTCCAGAAGTCTCACGTGCGAGACCTCTCCTTCATTGCTATCGATTTCGCCCGGTCTCCCGAGTGGAAGCTTCCAGAAGCTGGCATCGCCAACCTGACCCTCCGCCGTTTGTTGCTGAAGGACATCAGTAACCCCGATATTTTGCGTTTTGACTGGACTTTTACCTGGTTTGCCGGGGTAACCTACCTTTCTATCCTCAATGTCAACTTTAACTTTGTGCCCTGTGACGCCTGGGGGGAAATGAAGAACGTGGAGGTTCTAGATGTTTCTAATAACCGCTTGTTAGACGGATACATTTACAACGAAGGCTGTTTATATCAAGGAATCATGCCCAGCCTGGAGCACTTCAATCTTAGCAACAACGATTTAACCGACCTGAGCACAGTCTCCAAGCTGACATTCAACTGGCCCCAACTATCTAAGCTAGATCTAAGCCACAATCAAATCAGGAACTGTAAGGAATTGCCGTGTGGTTGGAGCCCCAGTCTTGTTTGGTTGGACTTGGCTTACAACGTAGTCACGATGGGGATCTTCCAGTGCCTTCCCACCCGGTTGCAGTTCCTGGATTTGTCCTACTCTCAGTTGGAACGCCTTGAGATGGCGTACTTTGAGGTCACCGTGGACCTCCAAGAGCTGCGCCTGAGTGGGAACAAGATCAAGTTTATCCCGACCGAATGGAGATGCCCGAATCTCCGGGTTTTGGCCATCGACGGCAACTCCTTCGGTGTCATCGGCAAAGGCTCCTTTGTGAATATGCCACAGCTCACGCAGCTGAAAGCGGGGAACAACCCTTACCATTGTGTCTGCGACCTCTATGGCTTCCTTCAAGAGACCCTGAAGAATGGCAAGTTGCAGATTGTGGACTGGCCCAGCGGGTGGACCTGTTATCATCCCGAGCCCCTGCTCGACACGGCGGTGATTGCTTACACCCCGAGGCTGACCCAGTGTAGTGTCATGGTGGTGGTAGCCATTGCTGTCTCCATCACAGCCGCTGTGGTGATCGCCGTCATGGTTTTGTGTTGGCGGTTCAACGTACCCTGGTATCTCAAGGCCACCCTCCAAGTCGTGCGCTCCAAATATCGGTCCGGCCGCTCCCAACCGTTGCGCGACTTCGCCTACCATGCTTTCATCTCTTACAGCTGCTCCGACGCAGACTGGGTCAGGCGGGAACTGCTCCAGAGGCTGGAGGCCTCGACCCCGCCGTACCGCATCTGCATTCACGAGCGGGATTTCACGCCCGGCCGCTGGATCATCGACAATATCATTGAGAACATTGAAAATAGCCACAAAATCATTTTTGTGCTTTCGCGCAGCTTTGTTGACAGCGACTGGTGCAATTATGAGCTCTACTTCGCTCACCAGCGGGCGGTGGGGATGAACTTCGAGGACGTGGTTTTGGTGGTGAAGGAAGCCATCGACCCGCAAGCGCTGCCCAACAAGTTTTGCCGACTGAGGAAGATGCTGAGCAAAAGGACTTACTTAGAGTGGCCTTCAGAGCCCGGGCGCCAGGCCTTCTTCTGGGTGCAGCTGACGTCCGCCCTGGGGAAGGCTGAGGTAATCAAGAAGGACCCAAAGGAGGATCCAGGCGACGTTGCTTGCAGGAAAAGCAACATGGCTGACAACTGCCTCGAAATGGATACTGTGGCTGATGCAGATGGTGTTCCAGCATGTTAAATAGGACTGAGTTTAAGCCAAGAGAGACCTCAGAGTTTAATTAGTGATTTGTTTGATCATGGTTTATTCAGGAAGCTGCAATGGCTGGATTCACAGATGATGCTCAAGCTGTAAACCATGGTGTGGGAATAAAACTTTGGCTTGGGTATTGAGTAATGATTAGTCTAAGACCTTATACATACATGTCTGCCTAAAGGTCACTGAGATAAAGCAAGGAAATTAAAAGCAAACACTAGAAACAATTAAGCAGCTCAGACAACTGTAAACAAGTCTGGGTACTATATCTAATTATTGTAATCCACAATGTGAATGCTTACTATGTACTAAAATCTCAATAAAAGGGAGCACTGGAATTTACTCTAGACTCCCATCCCAAGTACACACGCTTGTGTCTCATTCTTTCCATGGGAGACCACCACAAGTGGTGACCCCGACGTGATCCACTGCAGGTGGTACGTGTCCGGACCTCCGTGTTTCCTCGCCTGGAATAGGTAAAGTACGTACTTAACTATTGCTGGACAATAGGATTTTTTTCAGGGAACATGGGGGGAAAACTTTCTCAGCCACAGGAACGGCATGTCAGTGAGCTGCTGAAGTTAGTCAGGACAAACTTCTTAATCTTTAAACCCTCTGGGGGGGAGCAAATAGTTCTTTCAAAAGGTAATGTGAAACAACTGCTGCAAGAGATCTGGCAGCAATGCCCCTGGTACTCAGAGAGAGGCTCTTTAAAGTTAGACACGTGGAGGAAAATTGGAACTATCCTTCATGAAGAGCCACGGGCAACAGCTGAAATTTTGATATATTGGAAGGCTGTTATGACTGCTTTAGAGACCCAGCAACAACCTCTTTTAAAAACTTTAGTAGAACCTCCTCCTTATAAAGGAGTTGTGTTGCACCCACCAACCCCAAAACTGGAGTATGTTTTCACACCCCCAACAGCGCCTACTCCAGTGGATGATAAAATCCAACCAAAAATGGGAAAAGTTCAAGCAATGATGCATCAGGCTTTCAATGAGGGGAAATTAGAGCCTGATGAGATTCCCCAGATGAATTTGTTTCCAGTTAATAGGCAAGTGGATGCTCAAGGCAATCTGCAGACTGAATGGGTTCCGATTCCTTTGGCAGTACTTAGGGAAATTAAGAAAGCAGTTAAAGATTATGGTATTCAAAGTCCCTTTACAAAGGGTCTCCTGACAAGTTTGGCTACCTCACGCATGATTCCTAGTGACTGGAAAGATTTATTGAGAATGATATTGAGCTCTACTCAGTATGTGGTTTTTGATTCAGAATATCAAAGGGAAGCTGTCACTAGGGGAAGGAATTGGGGGGGGCTGTATACGCCAGACCAAATCTATGGGGCAGGCTTGTTTGAATCCACTGCTGATCAAGCTGCTAATTTGCCTGATCACGTATTTCCAGTGGTTACGGCAGCTGTCCTTGGGGCGTTGTCCCCCATCCAGGATGTGGGAACCCCGGCACGGTCTTTTTCTCAAATTAAGCAAACAGCATCTGAGTCTTATAACGATTTTGTGGAAAGGCTACAATTGGCAATTACCCGGCAAATTTCTAATGAGGAAGCTGCAAAAGAACTTTTGCTGAAATTGGCAGTTGAAAATGCAAACGCTGACTGCAAGCGTATCTTACAGCCTTTGGTGGCTAGAGGTGAGGTTACTCTGGCTGATCTGTTAAAGGCATGTGCAGTGGTGGGTTCTCAGGCTTACAACATGGAGACTTTGGCTATGACATTACAAAAAGGGATGAAACCTACAGGGAATTGTTTTAATTGTGGGAAGCCTGGCCATTTTAAAGCCCAGTGCCGATCACCTGGGGGGGGGGGGGGAATGGCATTTAACAAAATCAAAAATAGGGACGTTCGCCTGAAATTGGTCTGTCCAAAATGCAAAAAAGGGTTTCATTGGGCAAATCAATGTCGCTCTGATCAGAACCAAAATTCAGGAAACTAAATTTGGGGCGTGCAACTAGCCCCGCTCCCAAGGCTGTCACAAAAGCATCGCCTGCAATTACTGGGAGTGCAGGTTTAAGTTTAAAAATGTTGAACTCAATTGATGTGACTTTTCCTAATCAAGTGTACATTGAGGACACTCATTTGCATGGGCCACTGCCAGAAAAAACAGTGGGATTGGTACTTCCCAGGTCTTCTGCATCAGAAAAAGGGTTTTTTGTTATTCCAGGGGTTATTGATCAAGATTATAAAGGGGTTATTAAGGTACAATTATACACTGATACTCCTAAATCATTAATGGCTGGTGACTCTATTGCCCAGTTATTATTGCTTCCATACACATTCCTATGAATCCTTTAATTGGGATCCCACGAACTGGCGGTTTTGGGTCCACTGAAATGGCCAGTTCTCCAGTTGCTGCAGAATTGCTAGCGCTGAAAAAAAAATTGACTACAGACCAACCTAAAATGACAATTGAAATTCAAGAAAAATCATTTTCTGGCCTTATAGATTCCGGAGCAGATGTCTCTGTGATACGCCAAAAGGAATGGCCAAATGAATGGGCGCTTGAGGACTCTCCGGCTGTTCGTGGAGTGGGTGGTATGCAGATCCAACGTGGAGAGGACCTGTCCCGCTGATAACTTGGGGCCGAGGATACGCTGCTGTTGAAGATGAGGGGACAGTTGTTTGGGTTCCTGCTCGCTTTTTGCATCCTTATCATCAGCCAAAGGGGCAAGGGGATGGATTTGGGGGAATGGAAAAGAAACACGTTGATCCAGGACATGGGGAAGCTAGCAAACCTTCATAATAAAACTGATTGATGGGTATGTATGCACATGCCAACTCACAAAACATCAGGGCTTCCAATGGTTGCAGTACCTCTGGCCGAAGGTGACTGGTATAAGGGACAATGCTATGGTTGTTCGGGGACGTGGTCTAGCAGTTGGACTACAAGTAACATAACTACCTTACACCTTAGAAGTCGGATCCAAGAGGTGGCGGGTATCTGTTGGACCCACAATGAGACGGTAGAGAATATGACTTACTTTTGGGGACATATCCGTTTTGCAACAAAACAATTGTTATTAGCAATGGAAGTCGGGTTTATCCGGATGACATGAAAACTAAAAATCTCACTTACTTTGTGCATAACATCACTAAATTTGCTATCACATCTTTGATCAATGAAAATGGGTGTCCATATATTCCTGCCACATGTTGTCCCACCAAGCCAGCAGAAAACCAGTTGCCTAAATGTGCGGATGGGAAATACGCACCATCGTCCACTATGTTAATGGAATCCTTTGCAAAACTAATCTATGCTGAGCCAAATAAGGTTGGTCATCTCCTGGGAGCAAATGTATGGTTTCTGTGTGGACGGATGGCCTATGATCGCATGCCAGCACGATGGAAAGGGGTCTGCACCTTTGGGAAAGTAATCCCATCTCATTTCATTCAAAAATCTTTGGGGACTGCTCATATCCGCAATGCGCGTTCTGCAACGGAAGTAAACTCTGTTTTGGCTCATGACTACTGGACACAGATATCAAGGGGAGTTATTCCTCCTTTAGGAGTCATGATGAACTATAGAGATTTGCATTGTTTAAACAATTGGACAGTTACTATGTTTAAAGACACCATAAAAACGCTAAGGCTGCTTGAAGAAGAGCAAGGCAAAATTATTGACTTTGTCCTGCAAACCAGATATGCGGTGGATACTATTCTGGCTGCGCAAGGGGGAGTTTGCACTGTGATTCATATGCATTGTTGCATGTATATCTCTGATTATTCTCCAAACATTACAGCTACTATACAGCATATGGAACAAACCCTGGAAGAGAATCCATTACAATCGGAGGGTGAGGGACTGGACGTGTGGTCTACACTTTGGTCCTGGTTGCCAGATGGTTCATGGATTCGTCACCTAATTGTTGGAGTGATATTGCTTATTATATTTTCTCTTTGTGCATGCTGTATTATCCAATGTCTCCCTGGACTTTTAGGAATGTGTCGGGTGAAGCCTACGGAAGGAGAATTGCTGTTGCAGATGGCGAAAAGCTACCGAGGCATCCGCGATCATCAAAAAACTAAAACAGGGGAGATGTGGGAATAAAACTTTGACTTGGGTATTGAGTAATTATTAGTCTAAGACCTTATACATACATGTCTGCCTAAAGGTCACTGAGATAAAGCAAGGAAATTAAAAGCAAACACTAGAAACAATTAAGCAGCTCAGACAACTGTAAACAAGTCTGTGTACTATATCTAATTATTGTAATCCACAATGTGAATGCTTACTATGTACTAAAATCTCAATAAAAGGGAGCACTGGAATTTGCTCTAGACTCCCATCCCGAGTACACACACTTGTGTCTCATTCTTTCCATGGGAGACCACCACACCATGGTTTGTGAATTGCTATGACTGAGTTCTCACAGCGTGCCAAAAATGCCTACAGGATGGGCTTCTCTTTCTGTTTGAATCTTGGCTAAGACTTGTTTAGTTTAGGGTTCAATATGTTGTCCACAATACTCAAACTGATTTAATTTAGACCCAAGTTAAGCGTGTTGTGTAGAACCTTCCTGTCAGTATCATTCTACAAAGGGGGAATTCTAGTCATCTTACTGTTTCTTGGGTTTCCGTTCCCATGTCCTCAGGGTTAACCAAATTACAGAAGAAAGGGGCCTTGGAGGTCATCTAGTCCAAATTAGGGGACTGGAGGCTAAAACATACGATGGACGGTTGCAGGAACTGGGCCTGGCTAGTCTAGGGAAGAGAAGGACCAGGGGAGACATGATGGCAGCCTTCCAATATTTGAGGGGCTGCCACAGAGGGGAGGAAGGGGTCAAGCTATTTTCCAAGAAAGAAAGAAAGAAAGAAAGAAAGAAAGAAAGAAAGAAAGAAAGAAAGAAAGAAAAGAGAGAGAGACGAGAGAGACGAGAGAGAGAGAGAGAAAGAGGAAGGAAGGAAGGAAAGAAAGACATCTGAGCAAACCATGGATGGACAGAAGACATGCCTAGTTTAAGGAAAAGAAGGATGATGTGACATGATAGCAGTCTTCCAATATCTCAGGACTTGCCACAAAGAAGAGATGTGAAAAAGATGTTGAGACTCTAGAAAAAGTACAGAGAAGAGCAACCAGGATGATTTAGGGGCTGGAGGCTGGAACATACAAGGAATGGTTGCAGAAACTGGGCTTGGCTAGTCCAGGGGAGACAGGAGAGCAGCTTTCAATATTTCAGGGGCTGCCACAGAGGAGAGGAGGGGGTCAAGCTGTTTTCTAAAGCACCTAAAGGCCAGACAAGGAACAATGGATGATCAAGGAGAGATTCAACCTGGAAATAGGGAGAAATTTCCTGACAGTGAGAACAAGCCACAAAGGAACAAGTTGCCTTCAGAAGTTGTGGGAGCTTCATCACTGGAAGCTTTCAAGAATGGACTGCCCTCTCTTCCGGTTTGCAGGGCTTCGGCAGCAGGCAGGAATCCGCGATTGTGCGCGGTTTCTGCCTGGGCTCGCCGCTGGAGTGCCCCGAGCCAGCTGGCTTCGGGGCTAAGCCACCCCATAGAGGTGGTGAAGACGGGGGAGACCCAGCAGGGTCGAGGGGAGCCGCACCCCTCCTCCTCAGCTGGCTAAACTCCCTTTCCCGAAGGCGGTAAGAGCGGCGGTCAGAAATGGCCGCCTCAAAGAAGCACTCAGCCGGAAAAGAAAGTGCAGGAGGAAGTTAAGAAGTGAAAGTTTTGGCTGACCGGGACAAAAAGTAACAACTAAGGTACCCTGGAATTTAAATTTTGCAAAAGATACATCGCTCCCAAAGAAGAGTCGGAAGCAGCGAACGAAAGTGAAAAGGGAAGTTTTTTTCCCTTCACTCTCCTTCCTCACGCTGACAATGAGAAGATCTGAATAAAGAAATCGGAAAAATCCGCTTTGGCACCAACAGGTAACTAAACTGGAAATATAATTAAATGCCAAAGAAACAATAAAGATTTCTGAACACTAAAAAATCCTTTTTTTTGCTATAAGTGGGAAGGGAGAGGAAAAGAATAAGGGCAGGACTTGGAAGGAGGAGACTGCTTGGAATTCAAAAGAATTTAAAGTTAAATCTTAACAAGACTTCTAAAGGATACATTTTAATTGGAACTTTGCAACTAAATAGTAACCCTAAGAAGAGAAAGTGAAAAAAGGAGAAAGTGTTAAAAGAAACAGCTTGTGTGTATTTGGATTGTTTGGTGACTTTGGGACTTTTGGAAATCATATTTGAATGACTAAAAACAATTGGGTGGTTGTTTAAAAAAAACTCTACAAAGGCATCACCTCTGGATGAACTGAAAATCGAATTTAAAAAAATATAAAGAGGAGGAACAAGAAGGGAAGGGCTCCTTTGGTTCCATTTTTCAATTCTTAGAAATGGCGATTGGTGTCTACAAGAAACAACAAGAAAAGACTGTGCAACAAGAAGATTGGGACAAAGAAGAAGCCATTTTTAATGAACAAGTAATTCTATCTGGGGGAGAAAAGGGAAAGGGGGGGGGAAGAGAATGGAGAATCTAAGACCTAAAAAAACAGCCAAAAAAGGGAAAAATAATGTGAAAAGGGGATATAATGTTGGAAAGCAACAGAAAAGGGGAATACAGAAGAGGGAAATGGAGGTGGAGAGACAGGGGGTTAAAAAGGGGAGAGAGAAGAAAGGGAAGAAGGAAGGGAAGAGAAGTTACAAAGTTCTGGAGCAAGATGTAAAGAATCAGGATTTATTCAGAGATAGTGGGTGAAAATTTAACTGAAAAAGGGATTCTGTAAAAGTACATAAGATTGTATTGTTATATTTGTAATAGAAATAATGTTAGAAAATTGGAAACAACATATGATTAAAAAGTGGAATAAAATAGTTAATGTAATTTAGTGAAACTTTTGTGAACAAAATAAATGAAATGAAATAAATGAGAGAATTGAACTAGGAAGGAATGGGAACATTTTAACTACTCAACGTTTTATAAAATATAAGTGAAGTGGGAGGGAAGTAATTATGGAAAGTTTATAAGTGTTTCCATAGAAGTATGATACTTATTTGAAAAGTAATGTGTAAAATGTTCAAGATTTAAATGAATATTAATATTAATGATAGAATTGAATTGGTATGGATTGTTGTTTTAATTATGTTATATATTTATAATTTTTTCTTTTTTTAAAATACATTGTGTAGTTTTAGAATGTACCAAGCAGAATCCGAATGGAAGTTATGTATTATATTAAGTGTTATAATTTTAGGGGAAAGATATAAAGGCATCATACTCCAATCAGTGATTACAGGAGAAATTTTGTTTAATGAGTAAAGATAATAGACAGCTGAAACAGGACAGACAAAGAATATAAGTATGATGATTTGAATTGAGATGAAATAAATAAAATAAAATTAAGAAAGTTGAAAGAGGAGAGAAGTTATATAGAAAATGTAGAATGGTAATAAGATATGGAATGGAATATAAAAATGAGCATGAACTTGAATTTGTGTCTGCACGAAGAGATGTAACCCGGGATCAGGCTGCTTTCAAAAAAGATGTTTTATGTTTTTATGTTCTATGTTTTGTTTGTTTATGTTTGTTTTTAAAAATCAATAAAATTTTCAAAAAAAAAAAAAAAAAGAATGGACTGTCCTCTGTCAGAAATGGTGAGCTTAGGCAGGGGGTTGGACTAGATGACCTACCAGGTCCCTTCCAAATCTGTTAAATTACAGGGGAGGGGGAGCACACTAGAAACCTCGCCCATATGGCACCTTTGTTTTTCAGAATATGGTACTGAGAAGCTATGAATCGTGGTTTACAGACTGCAGGGATGGTTTTATTTGGCACGGCAAACCAGATTCACTTAACCATATTGCTCATTTAGGAACTGCAGTGATCCGCTTAACAACGGTGGCAGGAAAAGTGGTAACATGCAGGTAAAACAGATTTCTCACCTTAGCAACATAACTTCGGCTCAATTGTGGTCATAAGTTGAGGACCAGCTGTACAAGTATTCGCTCTTGACAGGAATGTGTTAACATTGTTCCTGGGTCACAGTGATATCCGAGTGTTGTTGCTGATCTCTAATGCCCTGAACAGGACAATTTTTAGGATATTTTATGGATGGATGAAGCTGTCATTTTTTAGCTTAAGTCAATTTTGTATAGAAATAAAGGTAGTCCTCGTTTTACGACTGCAATGGAGCCCAATATTTCTATTGCTAAGTGAAACATTTGTTTTAAGTGAATTTTGCTCCATTTTATGACCTCCCTTGCCACCATTGTTAAGTGAGTAATCTGGTTGCTAAGTGAATCCGGCTTCCCCATTGACTTTGCTTGTTAGAAGGTTGCAAAAGGGGATCACGTAACTCCGGGACACTGCAACTGTCATAAATAGGAGTCAGTTGCCAAGCATGTGACTTTTGATCACATGGCCATGGTGATGTGGCTCCGGTCTTAAGTGTGAAAAATGGCCATAAGTCACTTTTTTCAGTGCCGTTGTAACTTTGAACAGTCACGAAACGAATTGAGCAAGTCAGGAGTTACTTGTATCACTGTCCTTTGCTTCGATAATTAAAGTTTTATTAAATATTGTCATTTTGTCTCTTGTGTTTTCTATGAAACGTTCAGCATTTTGCAGTGGTTTTAATTTAAAAGCCCTCGTGGCGCAGTGGTTAGAATGCAGCATTGCACGCTAATTCTGCCAACTGCCAGCAGTTCGATCCTGACTGGCTCAAGGTTGCCTTCCATCCTTCCAAGGTTGGTAAAAGGAGGACCTAGATTGTTGGGGAGCAAGAGTAAACTGTAAACTGCTTAGAGAAGGCTGGAAAGCACTGTGAAGCAGGATATAAGTCTAAATGCTATTGCTATTTTCTTTCCTTCCTTTCTTCCTTGTTTCCTTCTTTTTTCCTTCCTTCCTTCCTTCCTTCCTTCCTTCCTTCCTTCCTTCCTTCCTTCCTTCCTTCCTTCCTAGGTTTCCTTCCTTCCCATCTCCTTCTTTCCTTCCTTCCTTCCTTCCTTCCTTCCTTCCTTCCTTCCTTCCTTCCTTCCTTCCTTCCTTCCTTCTTTCCTTCCTTCCTTCCTTCCTTCCTTCCTTCCCTCCCTCCCTCCCTCCCTCCCTCCCTCCCTCCCTCCCTCCCCAGTGATTAGAATGCAGTATTGCAGGCTAATTCTGCCAACTGCCAGGAGTTCAATCATGACCGGCTCAAGGTTGACTCAGCCTTCCGTCCTTCCAAGGTCGGTAAAATGAGGACCCAGATCGTTGGGGACAAATAGGCTGACTCTGTCAACTGCTTAGAGAGGGCTATAAAGCACGGTGAAGCGGTATATAAGTCTAAGTGCTATTTTCCTCCTTCCCTCCCCAGTGATTAGAATGCAGTATTGCAGGCTAATTCTGCCAACTGCCAGAAGTTCGATCCTGACCGGCTCAAGATTGACTCAGCCTTCCAACCTTCTGAGGTCCGTAAAATGAGGACCCAGATTGTGAGTTTATAAACCGCTTAGAGAGGTCTGAAAAGGCCTGTGGATATGAATCTAAGTGCAATTGCTATTGCTAATTACTATGACCTGCCAGTGCCAGCATCTCATTGACCTTGGCAGCAATGAAACAACTGAAGTGGATAAAAAGCTGCCTACGTCCTGGATGGGAAATCTCAGGGCTGCTGGCTAGGCCAGGAAGTGGGGAAAAGTCCTCAAAGAAGACGGAGACCTTGCTGTCTCGCTGACCAATGAACAGACAGGATGTGCTCCTGAGCAGAGTCCAGCTCCTTATCGCTTTCTAAAAAGGGAATGAAATATAAGCACGCAATGCTGCTAAATGTCCAGCAGATGGCAGCAGTGGATAAAATATTGGGATTGATTGAGGATTCTAGGAATAATCCCAACTAAAGTTAGTCCTCGTTTTATGACCACAATTGAGCCAAAATTTCTGTTGCTAAGTGAGGCATTTGTTAAGTGAGCTTTTTACGACCTTTCTTGTCATAGGTGTCGAGCGAATCACTGCAGTTGTTCTTAGTAACCCGGTTGTTAAGTGAATCCGGCTTCCCCCATCGATTTTGCTCATCGGAAGGTGCCAAGAGGGGATCGCGTGACTCCCAGGGACGCTGCAGCTGTCATAAGTGTGAGTCAGCTGCCGATTGGATTGGGGTGGACTTGAATTTGGAAGAATTCCAAATTTTCAATCTGCTGCTCAGATCTGAGCTTCATGGGCAAATCCCTAATTCCAGTTGCACAAAGCATCTACTCGTATTCCACAAAAATCTTCAAAACATTTTTTTCCCCTCCTGCACAGGAATTTGCAGTTTGAGGATGAACACCAAAGCTTCTCAGCAAAAACACAAGATACAAAAAATGAGAAGCACAAGTGATTTTATTTTTTAAAGAGAAGCTTTGCTTTCTTTTGGTAAGCAAACCTTATTCCCCACCCACAAGAGGCTTTCTGCAAACCTGAGAGCGGCACAGTGTGGTGAAGAGACCTGTGTTACTTAAAAGCTTGCGGGCTTCAAATTCAGTTCAGCGTGCAGGTAAAACTCATTGGAAGGTGTTGGGGTCTTTTTTAAAAAAACCCAGCTCTTTAATGCAGTGGTCACCAACCGGTGGGCCAGGGACTACTGGTGGTCTGCGTGAAAATTTTGGTGGTTCGCAGAGAAATGTCACCCCCAAAGCAATTAATCCAGGCTATGCTATGCTATGCTATGCTATGCTATGCCATGCCATGCCATGCCATGCCATGCCATGCCATGCCATGCCAT